AAGCAGTGGGCGGCGGACACCAGCCAGCCGGGCCCCAGCACCGCCGCCCCGCAGAAGTGCTCGCCGTTTTCCCGGAGGCTGACTTGCCAAGGGAACTCGCCGAGAGATGCTGCCACGCCACCCACGATCCTGCCCGCCGTCCTCCAGCCGGGCCGGGAACCGCAGTCTGCAAGACAGAGGTCACGGCCAGGCCGGGGAGAAGGCAGGGCCAGGGCAGCACCCTTGGCACGTCCGTCAGCCTCCGGATCGTCAGCCGCCAGCCCGCACGTCCAAGGACAGCTTGCGCTTGGCTTTGTTGTCCCAAGCGGGCCAGAGAGCACGGCCAGCAGCTGACCCTGGTGCGGGGCCACGCGCGGGGACCAGCCACACAGGCGGACTGACCACAGCGGGCCTCGTCGGAGCCGTCGGAGCAGTCCACCTTGTCATCACACTCCGGGTTCACCGTGGTCACACACTGGCCATTCCCGCAGGAGAAGGCGCTTTCTGGACAGCGACCTGAGGGCACAGCAGCACGAGACCTTGCTGGGCCCTCCCGCCTGCCTTCGGTCCCTGGTGTTTCCCACGTGACTTTCTCAGAGCGGGCATGGGGACAGCGTGACAACGCCAGTCAGCCCCGAGCCGGGCTGGGCAGCGGGAGCGTTCGCGTGCCCCGGGTGCACCTCCAAATTGTCTAAGAGTCACATTTCAGGAAAGTAAGAAACGGGTGACATCCGATATTTAACGTGGTAAAATACATAACATAAAAGTCGCCATTTTAAGTGTATGATTCACATTTGAGGCCAGGTCACTCTCTGTGGGGGGCCGTCCCGGACACTGTGAAGGGCTGAGCATCTCTGGAGTGACAGCCACAGATGTCCCCAGACGCCACCCAGTGTCCCCTGGGGACAGGGTCGCTCCTAGCTGAGGAACACTGACGTGAAGCTAAATAAATGTATCTACAGGTGTGTCGTAGCTGTCTTCAAGGACAGTGACCAAAATATTAAAAGCGATGGGATTCAGGTGACGCTTACTTTTTCCTTTTTTGCCACAAATGGTTGGTGTCATCTTTTCTTTAACAACAGGCTTCCGCCACTTTTCAAAAACCCCACAGTGTTTTCTCTCGGTCACACCTGGCCACGTGTGATCCAAGTGCCTCATCTGCAAACCCTATGCGTGCACGGGGTTGCAAACCTGTCCCCCATTCGGAGGCTCGGTGCGCCTGGACCCCCTCGCAGTGACCGTGATCGGGGAACCCTGCAGAGGGGCAGGCAGCTCAGGGGACGGGCGACGGCATACCTGATTTCAAGTCCCGTTCTGTCAATGGCCCCCTCTGGCTTCCTGTGACGAAACCGAGAAGGTGCATTAGCTGGGTCAGTGCGTGGTGGCCCTCTTTGAAAACATCACATGGAAAGGCACACAGTGTGGCACCATCCACCACGGGAGCCACTTAAAGCCAGTACGATGACACCCAATGGAACCCTGTGATCCTGTCTCACCCGCCACATGACAGGCACTAAATAGCCACACAGGGCTGGCGGCTACTGCAGTGGACGATGCACGCATAGAACGTCTCCACCACCACGGAAAATTCTATTAGATGGTGCTGATATTGAAGTCATTGACTCAGTTGGAGAGTCAGGGTTGCTAGGGAGGGGACTACAAATGTCCCATAGGGCCAGGGCAAGGTGATGAGCCTTTGACCTGACTACAGTGTGATGCAGCCTCAGATTTTAGAGTTTAGCATTTTTGCTTTTACTTCTGTACCCAGGGTCGACAAAACCCGGCCCACCCCTTGTTTTTTGTAAATAAAGCTTTATTGATACGCGGCCGTGTCCATTCATTTCTGCAAAGCCCTGGGCTGCCTTCGTGCTGCAACAGCAGGGTGGAATGGGCCGGGAAGGTGGAGGTATCTACACTCTGGCCACGGCCGGGTTGCAGACGCCTCTGGTCTGTACCACTGAGGGTGACATCCGGCGTGTGCTTTCTGTTTGTGGGGCGGGGCGGTGACCCAACGCCCGAAGGTTAATGCGGCCCTCCCACCGCACGCCCCTGCCATTGTCTTGAGTATCCGAGGCCTACTTGCCTGTGAGCATGGCAGACACAAGGGTGCCGTGGGCGGCCAGGGGGATGCCGTGGCCTTGCAGCCTCGCTCGGAGCCCCTGCTGCAGAAGCTCCCGCTCCAGGCCCAGGTCCAGCGACCGCAGGGCCAACAGCAGGAAGTGTAGCCGGAAACGCACCAGGACGCTGGCGTTGCCGTCCCTGCGGGCAGGAGGGAGGCCCTTGGCGGGAGGGACGCTCTCCCTGGGGTCCCGGGCAGCGTGGGAGTGCACCCAGACCCCTTCGCCCCCACAGAGGCCCTGACGCACCTGTACCCCAGCACCGTGCAGCCCACGCAGCTGGCCTCCAGCTCTGTCTTCCAAAAGCTACGTGCAAACTGCAACGGAAACACAGCAGCCGAGTTGGGGCTGCAGTGAGGGCGCATGTTCCCCGCGGAGACCTGTCCTGAGCGGGGAGCGGGAGGAGGGGCGGAAACGCACCCCCGCCCAGGCCCCAGGCCTGACACACACTGCATCCCCACCGAGCCGTGTAAACAACAGGAAAGGATGTCCCAAAGTCATTCGGATGACAATATCGCTCCAGCGACAGATGGGTGGATAAAATGTGTCCGTCCACATAGGGAAGGTCCCTCAGCCATGAAAAGGGGGGAGGCGCTGGCACTCCAGGACGTGGACGGACCTTTAACGTGATGCTCAGTGAGAGACGCTCGACACACAAGGCCACATGGCGTGTGATTCCATTTATATGACACGTCCAGAACAGGCATGTCCACAGACAGGAAGTGGGTGAGTGGGTGTCAGGGGCTGGGGAGGGGATGGGGGTGACTGATGAGGGGACGGGGCTTAGTTTGGGGTGAGGACTCACCAGTCCACATCCCCACTGACTGCATCTAGACCTGCTCTGCCCCAAGAACATTCAACAAATTTCCAGAATGTTCTACAGCTGCCCTGCTCCATACAGCAGCCACCACCCACGCGTGACTACCGAGCTTTTGAAAAGTGGCTAGTGCCACCAAGGAACTGATTTTTATGTTTTAATTAAATCATGCTTAAATTTTAAAACAGATAATTCACAGAGCATCATATATTCAAGGTCCGTCCACATCGTGGCGACTGTCAGCGCCTCCTTCCTTTCCATGGCTGAGTGGCACTCCCCGTGTGGACGGACACATGTGTGTCCATTCATCCACCGATGGACATCTGGGGTGCTTCCTCTCTGGGGCTGTTGTGAACCCCGCCGCCGTGAGCACACCTGGGCCCGTTTTTGTGCAGACGTGCGTTTCCGTTTCCCTTGGGGACGCACAGAGGAGCGGAATTGCTAGGTCAGGTAGCAATTCTGCATTTAACTTTTCGATGAACAGCTGGACTGTTTTCCACAGAGCTGCCCCATCGCACACCCCCACCGGCCACGAACAAGGACACCAATCGTCCGCCGCAATACAACGTACGACCTTTAAACCCTTAAAAAGCCTTAAAAAGCCGGAGTCAGCTCCACAGGACGCCAAGACCCCCTGCGCCTGAGAACGCACCAGCCCTGCCAGCCAGCCTCACCCTGCTCCTCCCACGGCCCGCCTCCCCGCCCAGCGCCTGCCCGGACTGTCCCCTGCTCAGTTCACCCGCCCGAGGGGGTCCTCTCGGTGGAGACCCCGGCCGCCCACAACGTCCCCACTCCCGGGAGCCCCTCACCAGCATCTCTAGGGTGGGTGTCAGCATGCGGTAGTAGTCCGAGGCTTCCTGCTGCAGGCTGCGGGAGTACCGGATCCCCCGCAGCTCAGCCGTGTGCTCCACATCGACGCCCTGTATGGAGAGGGAGGCTGCGGGCGAGACCAGGACCCCGTGAGAGAGCCCAGCTGCAGGGTGGGGCTCAGCCGAGGGGCCTCGAGGACCCCCACCACCCAGGGCCCGGTCACCCAATACACAGGTGGGCGGGCCAGCTGACTTCCCGGGAGTCATCCTGAGTGATTTTAAGTGTCCCCTCATTGCCTTTCACATGTCACCCCCCGCTAAGTACAGCACAAAGCCCCTGAGGTCCCCAGATTTTGCTTGAGGGCAGGACTAGCTCCCAGTCGAACTTGTCCCAGGGGCTGACATGGCCTCAGGAGAACTTCCCTCCACTTCGGAGCAGCTGTCCCCTCCTGCTCCCAGGAAATAGGCCAGTAAATACCGTGGGGACACAACCACCGCCCCCAGGACGCTATCCTCTGAAAAAATACAGGTTTCCAACTGTGGAAAACACTGTGTCTTCAAAAGCACACACTAGCTAGGATGATAGTCATAAAAAATGTTAAGTAAGGAAGACAACAGCAACCACGTAAACCGTGAAAACACTCGTTTCTAACTGTCAAAAATCAGCAAAAAAAAAAAAAAAAGATTATCATTGCAAAATAAGAAAATGATGGTAACAGCCATGTGACTTGTGAAAGCCGGTTTCCAGTTCTCTCCCGAATGAATATCCATCCAGATAGATGTTTACATAGCTGCTTATTCAATAGACAGAATAAATATTCAAAACCGATTCTAAAAAGTTTGTTTTCTCATTCGAAAACTAGAGAAAAGCAAGCACCTTGTTGTGTAGACCAAGTTGCTTAGCTCCACGCCCAACTAAGCCTTTCGGTGCCCCCCAATTAATTACAGGCTCCCAGGAAGTTGAGAAACAGCACGGAGGTCCCGGCACCCTCCCCAGACCCCCCAAGGCCAACACCTCCACTGGAAACTGTAAGCTGTCCGAAAGCAGAAAGGGACACAGTTTCATCTGATCTTGAAAACATTTTTTAAAAATTAAAAATTTTAAGTGCTTCTTAAAATTTTCCCTGGTTTCAGGGGTCCTGTTGGAAATTATATTTTATCTCTTATTCCTTAAAGGTATCTGTGCTTCTAGAATGAAGGTGTAACACCCAGCTCCCACCCCTTCCTGGAGCAAGGACACATGCACATGCACGCACATGCTCACACACACGCTCACATGCACGCATGCGCACACATACACACTCACATGAGCACACATCTGGTCACACGCACATGCGCACATGCATGCCCATATGTGCACACACAGGTGCACACATACATTCACACACTCGTGCACACACACGCACATACACACACACGTGTGCACATGCTCACATGTGCACACATGCGCACCTGCACGTACAGAGCCCAACTTTCCCGTCCTTGACTCCCACAGCCACTAGGGGGCCTCAGTCAGCCGTGCCCGGCTGTGACATCCTCCTAATGTCAAACATATACACTAAAAAAACAAACAAACCTGGGGACCCACATAGAATTGCCAACTTATTATTTTGCCACGTGAGAGCACTCTCCTGCCAACAGCCACATAGCATCACCATCTCATGAAAGCAAGGTGGCTTTTACACCCCCTGGAACACCACGGAAACCTTCTCAACTCGGAATAAGCCCATCTCAGAGCCACGGGGCCCAGCCGAACTTCTTGTGATGACAGAATGTTCTAGATCTGCACTGCCCAGTACAGTAGCCACGAGCCACACGTGAGATATGGCTGGTGGGGACTGAGGAATTGAGATTTAAAGGTTATTTACTTTTAATGCATTTAACTCAAAATAGCCACCGGGCCTTGGGGCTGCCAGTGCAGACAGCATGGACATGGGGCCACACTGAAATAGAAGAATTTCGTGTTTATTTTGTGACAGCAGCCCCGTGCCGTGGAGATGGGTCATCATTTTGCATGGTTCATCTTAAATTCCATGACCATCAGCTGAGAATAAGCTTCAGACAGGAACCACTGTGATTGGGGGTGGCGGGCATACAGACGATTGTTCATTTTTTATACTTTTCGATATTTTTCAAATTTCTCAAGATTTTTAAAAAGCTTTTTTCCCCTGTCCCTATTTGTGCCCATTTCACCCTGGCCATGAAAACTTCGTCAGAGAACCCTATTGGTGGGAAACGCGCCAGCCAGACCGTGAGAGCACTCTCCTGCCAACAGCCACATAGCATCACCATCTCATGAAAGCAAGGTGGCTTTTATGTCCCCCGGAACACCACAGAAACCTTCTCAACTCGGAATAAGCCCATCTCGGAGCCACGGGGCCCAGCCGAACTTCTCGTGATGACAGAATGTTCTAGATCTGCACTGCCCAGTACAGTAGCCACGAGCCACTCGTGAGATGTGGCACCCAGCCTTCTTGTCCTCTCCCTTGGTGGCCCGAAGGGGCAGCCGTCAGTTTCACATATGCACACTGTCTCCAGGATCACCACGTGACAGCACTGAGCCACGCCCGAGCGTCTCCGTCACCCAGGATATGAACCCATGCAAGCCCTCGGCCGCTTACCCACAAGGACCGCCAGTGTGACGATGACGATGCTGGCGGCCACCGCAGCACAGAGGGCGACACGGCAGCACACGGCGTCCCGAGTGGGCACGTCCTTTGCTGCCCGGGGTACGAGCTGTGATTCACCAACCGTGGGCTCCATGGTCCCCAGGCCCCGGACGGCCACCTGGATGCCAGCAAAAAAGAGGCAGAAAAATGACATCAGCGCTGGAGTCACTCCTCCTCCCCTGAGTTGGGGTCTTTCCTGTGCAGATGTGACAGCCGTCAACTGTGCCCCAGGCGCTGGAGGTCTCCACTTGAAAACGTCCTAAGACGTGGATTCAACGTGACTGCTAGCTGGGCTTTGCACGCGGGCTCCCCATGGCTGCTCGGGCCTGTTGCTGGAAGGAATCGGGTGTGTGTGCGTGTGTGTGTGTGTGTGTGTGTGTGTGTGTCCCCTGGGAACACTGGACAAACTGCCACAACCTCGAGGCTTAAAGCAACACGGGTTCGTTATCTTGCAGTTTCGGGGTCAGACTTCTCAACATCAGGGGCTGCGGAGAGCTCAGGGGTCTCCTGAGACGGGGTGACGGGTCGGCCCCGCTGCTATTGGCTCTGAACCTTATCATCAAGAGCCAACAAACTCTATCCTATGCGGGGCAGCTGGTTCCCGCCACTTGTGACTAGAAAGAGCCTTGAGCACAAAACGCACGCGGCCTCCCACGGGATGGCTCCCTACGTCCCGAGACCCGAGCGGACCTGGTTCCAGCTCAACCCAGCGTGTTCTCAGCCCGTGGCGGGGGCGCCTGGGCACCACGGGGGTGCAGCGATCCGCACCTGGCCCCCTGACGCATTGCTCCCCTTAGAAAACCTCAGAGAGCAAAGCTGGGGGGACAATCGCATCTCGTTTCCCCTGACGGGGCCCCACGGTGTTGCCGTGATGGGAGCTTTTGGGTGAGATTAGCATTAAAATCGGTACACGTGAGTGAAGCAGGGGGCCTTCTGGACCGTGGGTGGGCCACGTCTAATCTGGGAAAAGGCTCGGCTTCCCGGGGGAAGGAAGGGGTTTTGCTCTCTCTCCTGTTCTGTTTTTCTGGAAAACACGGAGGAACGCGGTCCGCGGTCGGTATTTTAGGATAAGGATGCCTCGTGCAATGCTTGGGACGTACCGCCACTGAGAAAAGGTATTCGTTGTTTTTCTGAGATTCACATTTACCTGAGTGTAAACTTTAGTGTGTTTATTGTTAAGTCCGAGACCCCACGCCGGGGCCCTGCCAGAATGTTCCATCGTACCGAAGGAACATGTCCCTGCTGGAAACGACCGTTCCGTCCCTCACTGCTGATGAGAAAGGGGAGCGGTGTGGGGGCGGCGGGGGTTGGGGGTGGGGCGGGAGCGGGGCTGCATAACACTCACCCCTTTATGCTCACACTTGAGCTCAACTGCCTTCTGAGGAGCCGAGAATCTCTAAGAATCGCTCGATGAAATGTTTTCGGGACAAAGACACCGAGATTCACTTCTATGATTAGAGCTGGAAACTCAAATTTAGTGTGTGAGCTCGCTGATGGCCCCCCGCCCCAAACGCACACACTAAGTTCATTCAAGCCCAGCCGCCCCCACGCCTAGGTTTTCTGAGGACGCCTGTGTTCTCCACATTGTCTTGTCATCACCATAATTAAGGCCCAGAAACTGCTATTTAGCAGCGAACATAGAAGCGCCATTCATTCAGCTCTCCCTCTGTCCCCTACTTGCGACCTGGCTGCCCTGGGCTGGGGACCCAACCCGGAGTGAGGCAGAGGCGATGCTCTGAGCCCAGAGGCTGAAACCTTACAGCAGAGATCTAAATAAATTACAGGTGACAGCAAAGGCTCTAAGACAGAGGTACCTCCCTAGGGCCATGAGCTCTGCTCTGGACAGGAGGTCGGGGGAGGCTTCCTGGGAAGATGACTTCTCTGAGTTCTGGGAGATAAGTGTCCAGCGGATGGACGATGTCCACTCAGTGAGAACACAACATGTAAACGGCCCCATGGTGGGAGGAAGGGCCGGCGTAGAGAAAGCGCGTTAGTCAGCTACCGCCGTGTAACAAATGACCACGGACAAATCCACAGAGTCACAGGCGAGTTGCCAGGGGCTGCGGGAGGGGAGGGGAGTGAGTAACAAGGACAGAGAGTCGGTGTGGGATGATGAGGACGTCCTGGAGGTAGACGCTGGGGACAGCTGCACGACCCGTGAGTGTGCCTAAGGCTGCTGAGCTGTACCCTTAACGGTGTAAGTGGTAAATTTTATATTATGTATAATTAACCATCGTGAAAAAGAAAAAGAAAAAATCGAGAGAGATAAAGAAAGAGCAAAGTCGCTGGAAATGGAAATGTGAGGGGGGAGGGCTGGAAGCTCGGGGGCCACGGGGAGAGGAGGGCCACTGCTTCCACACAGAAACATCCAGAAGGAGGGGCCGGCAGCAGGTATCCGTGAGCAAACGAGGAGGCACAGGGGAAGTCCGAGCGAGGTGTGCCGGCCCGGCCAGCTCCGCCCCCCTCGTGCCCCGGCTCGACCCTCTGGGGGCCTCCTCGAAGGGCCCAGAAACCTCATCCAGCACTTGGCAGGCCCGGTGGGGAGCAGATAAAAATCAGGCTGCGAAGTCTGCCTTTGAACCGAGCAGGGCTCAGAAAAGGAGTCACTGTTCGATCCAAAAATTCTGAGTGTCTCTGGTGCTCCCACAGAAATGGTATTTTGCTTGGACACTGGCAGGTAGGATAATGTCCCCAAAGATGTCCCCATCCTGGTCCTAGGACCTGCAGACGTGTCACCTCATGTGGCAGAGGGACTGCGCAGGTAGGATCGAGTCAAGGCCCCTGAGAGGGGACGACCCTTGATTCCCGGGGGCCCAGTGTCCTCACGGGGTCCTCATAAGGGGTAGGCGAGAAGGTCAGAGTCACAGGTGGACGAGGCTGCGCTGCCGGCTGTGACGAGGGGGCAGGGGCCGTGAGCCAGGGACGCGGCGCCTCTGGAAGCTGGAAAAGGCCGGAGACGGTTCTCCCTGGAGCCTCGGTTCGGCCCGGCCCTGCCCGCACCTGGGTTTGGCCAGCAAGGCCCAATTTATCACAGCGGCAACAGGAAACGAACAGGGGCTCTGTGGGCAAGGCTACCCAGTGCTGACCTGGGAGAGAGTGTTGGATGGCAGTTCAGGCATTGGTCATTTTGTAGGTGGAGCACCTCGAAAATGGAACTGCCCTTGCCCCACTGTCCTCGGGTCAGGCGGAGGAATGCTGGCCATCAGAGGACCAGCGGCCACATTCTGGTGTTGACCTGACTGGTTCTGTGAGCCCCCCCGGAGGCAGTTTACTCTCTGGGTGTCACAGCTGGTCATGGATCGATTTTGCCCGTTTGGTTGTAATTTTCCATGGCATGTGGGCAACAATGTCATTTTTATGTTCCCAGAGTTCCTTCCTTTGGGGAAGACATGTCCCAATCATTGTGTCCCACCCACCTGGCCAACAGGCCTGCCAATCACAGTATTTTCCCCCTTCTCTTCCCATCAGTGACTGGTCCCCACTGGATGCAGTCCCGCCAATCACAGTGCCCACCCCTTCATTCCCATTGGTGATTGGCCCACACAGGACCCAGGACTGCCAATCACGGTGCCCACCCCTTCATTCTCATTGGTGATTGGCCCACACAGGACCCAGGACTGCCAATCACGGTGCCCACCCCTTCATTCCCCTTGGT